CCTGAACCCTGAGAGACCTACCTTCTCAACGGACGCCTACGTCCTACTAGGAAATCATAACAAGGAGCCCTGAAAAGGCAGGCGTTTTAGGGTTCAGGTAAAGCTAGAAACGGCATACCAGGCACGAACACCTTTGACCGATGGGAGATGCGAATCCACAAGCGCCTCATCGACTTGCACTCACCCTCTGACGCCTGCAGCTCAAAGGGAGAATCGGGTCTGAAAATCAGTAGAAGGGGTGGGAAAAACGCATTCCTTTGTCTTCCCTACATGATCGCAGTATGAAGCTCTTGAAAACCTCTTGCAGTCTTGTCAAATTATTATGAAGGTCCTTACGCAGTTGGTGTTGTTGGGACTTGCTTCTTGCTGGTGTATGAAAGGGGCCTTTCAGGGATCTGCATGGCATCACGGACTCGCGGAAGGCTCCAGGGAAGCCCTCAGGTCAGGTCTGTTGAGCCCTCAGGGTGTAGGATCCCAGGGTCTGTCAATATAATATAATGTAATATAATATAAAAGAACATAATATAGTATAATATAACATAATATAATATAATATATGGTGTAGACTTCTCTATTGGTGGCCAGACTTTCTCGGTTGGGGGTTTAGGAGAGCATCCGCAGCCCGAGGTCGTGAAGCAGATCACGTCGATCTCCATTGAGTCGGGGCCTAGGGTTTGGGCTCACCAGGGCTTTTAGTCTTGGTATCGCGGCGATAAAAAGCTACCGAGTTGTTCGAACAAGTGGTTTATGGTGTGTTGAGTCTTCTTAAGCTATCTGAACTTCTAAGTACATTTGCCGTGAACTACCATAGCCTATTTTTTTGTGGCGTTGCTATAGACTCGATATGGGGCCCTGCAGTGGAATAGCAGATGGCAGTTTAAAGCCGTAAACAGAAAGCACCAGACCCCTAAACCCTAAACACCCCAAGCCCAGGGTTTAAGATGTAAGCTTGGCTGTGGGGTCCGGGGTTGAGAGCTCCGGTTTTCGGTTTTAGAGTGTGCGCTCCGCGATCTAAGCACATTAAAAACACAGCGTGCAGCCTTGAAGTTTGAGAGTTGAGGGATCAGGGTTTACGTTTTTCAAGCTTGGTTCTTACAGTACCTGTACCCTGTTTCCCAAGTTCCCTGCTCCTCCACTCCGAACCTCAACCCCCATTTTTTCTACTATACCCCTTTTTGAGGAAACGAATTTTATCAGGAAGTCACAGAAAGGAGCCCTGACAACATGGGGCCTTGGGTCCAGCAAGCCCAAACAGGCCTTAACCTTGCAGAGTCCTATAAAATAGAACCATTGTGTTAGACAACCCAAGAAACAAAGTCCTAAGCCCTAAACCGTAGTCCGTAGTGGCCTATAGCTACGGCTTAGAGTCTCGTCTTGAGGGTTTCCGGCTCCTAACAACCACGTCCAAAAGCCCCGGCTTGATTTTTCTGAACCGAGGCCTGGCGTGGAAGTTGCAGGGGGCTCAGGGATTTCAAGGTTTCTTGGATTGTTGGCCTCTTTGGGGTTAAGATTACTAAGGCTGGTGGGTTTCTGCAAGGGTTTTCGCGGTCTTACTAGTATCAGAAGTTTCGGGGTGTATCATAGTCATACTATAGTTATACAGCTACAAGGGAATAGTCTCAAAGCCTCTGATTAAGATCCGGTGTGTGGGATGTAGCGTTGCGCTTGCTTGAGTACGATTCTGAGGTTCCGGGTTTAATATAGGCGCCTTAATAATTAGAATAAGGTGTTGGGGTATAGTGTACTCTAGTTATAATAAGGACCCCCACAGCTCCTACATTAGGGAGTGGAGCTTAGGGGTCGTTGGTTGGGGTTTTGGGTGAACGGGTTCGATAGGATTACATACGTCTAACCTAGGGGCCTAAACAATTCCCAATACTACTTTGAGGGTTCCTTATCATAATTATAGTATAATGGGCCCCAACACCTTATTCTAATTATTAAGGCCCCTATACGAGCCGAAAGATTGACAGTGACGTGAATGGCATCCCCTGGTTCTTTCAACACAGTTTTCCAACAAGGCCATCCAAACTACTAGACGAATCCCGATGACCGAAAGCCTCGCGCATAAGCCTAAACCCATAAACATGAGCCCCAAAAACACAAAGCAACCTTCGAGCCCTAAAACAACCTAAACCCTGAAGCCCCAAAGCCCCAAGCCCTCCTCGAGAAAGATTGTGAAAGGGTAAGTTAGGCAGATACACGGAATACTCCCTAATATTGCGAGTGCATCTTGATTCAGGGTACTGGGGCATCATGGCCTTGGCCTTCTTCTACACCCCTCAACCCATCAGTTTGAATTTGCAAAGGAGGTGACCATTGCTGACCTCTGATCGCCTGCTGTGATGGCCGCCGGAGCGCGAAAAAGCCTGTAATGCGGGCTTTGGGCTTACAGATCGGTTGGTGATCGTTGCTTAAGTTTGATGGGGTTCTGCAGGATTTCGCCGATGTTCTCTTTCAGTTGGGACGAGCTGCAGATTTCAAGGCGAAATTTGAGGAGCACGGGATTAAGGGCATAAGTGTGTAGACTCTGTAGCGAGTCAAAGGGTTCTCGGGCCTAATAGGGCAGTATATCACAGGGCCTTAGCGGTACAAACTCAAGCTAAGCAATTCACCTCAAGAGTGAGTTCGCAAGTGCATGGCGACGATGCTTGGCAGCCGAAGCTCAGCGTCGCCACCGACCCTTCCACAACCAGCCCATGAAACGTTTATCGAGTCTGCCCGCGAGCTGGCACGAGATTCGTATTCACAAAGCCACCGAGCTGAACAGCTTGTTCTCAGCGGGCGACCAACTAGCTCTCTTCACGTGGACCACAAATGACCAAGGGCGCTCGTCCCAGGAGGTGGCCCTTATCTCAAAAGACTCTAAACTCTGCTGTAGAAACTTTAAGACTGCTCAAGCCTTAGCCCTAGAAACAAGCCGAAAGATCCTAAGTACCTGTGTATATATTTACACAAACCATATATTAAGATTCCTGAAGCTGACACCCTACTTTCTTCTCTATTATGGTACTTCGGACCCCTTTTTGAAATGGCAAGCCCCCTAAACCCTGAACCCGCAATCCTAAACCTAAACCCAGCCCGAGTCAGACGTGGGGCTTCAGTGTGACGGTGTAGACCCAGTCCCAGATCTCAATCGTAACAGCTGCTTCTGGGGTCCTACAGCCAGGGCCTAAGGGTCTTTACTTTCCTGAGCAGGGGTACAGAGTTTCGGGTGTAGTCAGGTTTGAGAAATCCACGAGAAGTATGGACAACTTTTTCATATCTCCATCCCACCTATGACAGGCACGCACAACCCTTCTCAACTTTGTTGTCCCGCAAACCCTCAACCCGGCAACCCAAGCCCGAATCCTAAACCCTGAGCCATGATGAATTGCTGCCGTCGCTGGGCTCGTTCCAAAGTCCCGTCGCGTAGCAGCCTCCGAGTCGATCAACCATGGCGCTGGAACCTGAGAATGGTCAGGGACAGGGTTCGGGTTTTGGGTCAGGGTTTGCTCAGGGTTTGGGGCTTCGAGTTCACAGGGTTCCAGAAAGGCGACAGCATGGGGAGTTAAAGGCGGTTTCCGACCTAGATTTAGGCAGCACGAGTTTTGAGGTCGCGAGTGTCGTAAACTGGGATTCAAGGCTTTAGGGTGTCAGGTCGTGGGGCTGTGCACGCCCCCTCCCTGCCTTTCCATCAGGCGAGGATCTGTGTCCCGTGAGTCGACAGTCCTTTTGGTTATTTCAGGTGTAAGGCATTCAACCGCCTGGGGCGAAAACCGGATTCAGTGGCTGTGCGCTGCAGCAACGTTGCAGGAGTTTACGGATCCAAGGCTTGGGCTTTGAGTGTGGACTTTGAAGTTAACCAGTATAGACAGTAGGCCAACAAGGCAAGTGTCGGGGGTTCTGGGTTTAGGGTTCAGGGTTTTCGGTATGTCGACTAGAAACCTCTGTGCAACTGCATAGCCTATTGAAAAGCTGCAAAGGTTCCTAGTGAAGCCTGGCTTATAAACGTCATAAGCTCCCGTAAACCCTGTTCAGGGCTTCAGGGAGCCCTTAACATCCAATGACAGTCACAGAACTAATGACAATCACGAAGCCCGACACCACCCTAAAAAAAAAAGACCAAAGACCCTGGAAGCCCGGTCAAAACCATAAAATCCTAAAGCCGAAGCCTTGCTTTCAGGACCAAGCCAGTCAAGTCCCTCGAGTCCGAGGAGCAGCGTCCAAGACCCAGCCTTATACATAGGCGTCGGAAAAGTTTGAATTGCTACAGTATGTTACAGTGGTGAGAGCGTCCCCCTTAAATTTTCTTATCATATGGGTGTTGAAGAATTGGTGAGAATCTCCCTGTAAAGTCCTTGTGTACCTCTAGTATATTATACGGGCCGGAATAAAGATCCCCTGAACTGTAGCCTTGAATTCCGTGATATAGGTAGTTCTCTAAATTAGGGTCCCATTTCAGGTCCCCCACAAGAGCACTTCACCCTTCTAGAAAGGACCTTACAAGGGACCCTAATTTAGAGAACTACCCATATAGGCATTCTGCTTTTGATCCTTGTATAAGTGCAGTGTAGTACCTATAGAATATAGGCCCCCAAAGCCTGGCTTCAGTTATTCAGGTCCCTCGATGAGGCCGTACGAAAGCCCGCTTAGGGTTAAGGGTTTCAGATTGAGGGTCAAAGCAAAAGTTGTAGGACATGGCATTTGCATTTGGTGCTTGGGGCAGTCGAATTATACTTCTGCTGGGGTTCCTTCATGTTCCAAGTTTCTGGCTTCCTCTGTGCGAGCGGTGGTATTTAGGGTTCCTGAAGTGAAAAGGTGTAGAATATACGGATGTGGGTCTAGAATTCGCTAAAGTTGACGATTTAGGTTTTATGAATTCGGACTTTGAGGCAGGCGGTGGGAGCGTAGGTTTTGCACATGGGTTTCTCAACGGCCTCGAGAAACCCGGGTTTGAGATGTTTTTCAGGCTGATACAGTGCCTTCAGCTGAGAGAAGGAGAACCCCCCAGCCGAGAGGTCTGCACCGCATTCGCATCACCCTTAGCAGCCGTGACGTGAACGGCTCAGTCACCGTGGACCGTGTGGACCCGGAGGTTGATCTAATTGGGCTTTGTTTCTTGTTTGATTGGCTTTGGGGCTTTAGAAGTTTTTACAAATCGTCCTACAATGGTTACTACGGGTTTGTATAGGCGCGTTTGGTAAGGATGTCTATGAAGGTCCGGGGCTTCAGCGTTGTGGGATTGCGGCGTCAGGCTTGTGGCGGTTTCGGGTTCAGGGGTCTTGGGGCATTCAACAGGCATCACCTCGCCATGCACTCAGAAAGCCTTTTCGGACCTCCTTCTCAGTGACTTCAGACACCGTGAACACAAATTCCCCTAACCCCCGAACCCCTAACCCATGAGAGCTGGACCTTTCATGCCATACAGCCAACTTGCAGGTGCTGGCCTCGCAGAAGCAAAAGAGCCACGAACCCCTAGCAGTGCGTTGCAGGACACACGGCCACGTGTCCCAAAGCCCCAGAAACCCAAGCACTAAACCCTAGAACCCGCAACCCCTAAACCCAAAGCCGCTAAAAGCCTGAAATCCTAACCTCGTTCCGTAAACTAAATATATAGTACTGTAGAGCCCTTAAAAAACAAAAACCGGCATAGAACCTTTAAAGGCCCCTATCACCGTCATCAGCTAGCACCCTAAACCCTAGAATCCTAAATCCCTAAGCCCCTAAACCTTCATAGAGCCGTAATTGCACAGCAACTCCTCATAAGCCGCATAAGAGCTCTTAGAAATCCTGCATCGCGACCAGAAGAACCCTAGACCCTCAAGCCATAACCCAAACTCCGAAAGCCCCATACCCGAAAACAGAAGTACACCCCTATGAAGTGCTAAAATGCCCTTGTGTAAGCCCCAGAAACCCCAAAAAGCCCTCAACCCGGAACTTCCTTTCATCCAAACCCAGTTATGTCAGGTCAAAGCACTGGAGAAGGTCTGCACTGATCTGGTGACCGGTGCCAAGGCGAAGGCACGAGGGCGCAACGATTTTACAAAGCTTTTCATAGGGTTCGCCAGCACATTTTTGATGATTTCAGCATTTCGCAGCATCTCACACGGTTTTATACGAGGGTTTTACACAACTTCGTAGGAATCTCCAGGGCTTCATAAGCGTTAGCAGTGGCGGAGCTGCATTTTCATGAGCAGTTGTTATGTCGCTATAGGAGAAGTATGAGTTTTGGCGTGTGGTTTCACGAGGGCGGGGAAGCTCCTGTTGCAGGAGTTGAGTCCAAGGGAAGTTACTTCGAGGATCAGGGGACTTAGAAAGCAGGCTATAGGAGAACATCAGCTAACCAGCTTTGTACTACACTTCATGTACCACTTCAAGCACTACCCTTGCATATTAAGGCCAGTAGGCCCAAAGTAGGACTACCCTGAGGGAACGCTAGTTCAGTACACCCCCAGGTCGTGGAATGCACTACTTCGTTGACCTTTTTAGAGTGGAGACTCGACACTGACCCCGAAACGATAAATCCGAAACCCCTAAGACCTAAAAGAGTTCGCCAAGTTCCACCAAAAAGGCCGCAAAACCTTGAACCCTAGAACAGAAAGGGTTGGGATTTGGGATATTGGGTTTAGGGTTTACGGAAACCTGAACCAACCAGGATCAATTTTCTCCAGAGCCCTTAACTATCCGACATCATGGCAAGGTTCAGACACTACCAAAAGGACAGTAGACTTTACTTTGTTTTTTTTTTTGCGGAAACAAGGTCTCGACCCTGAATCCTCAAATTCTCCCGCCCTAAAGGCACTAAGCTTGAATGTACAAGCAGCCAGCCACCCAAAAGAGAAGCCACCTTTCTTGTGGATGCACCTACAATTTCTCTTCTCGGGTTCATAGTTCAAGCAGGTTCCCCGAATGGCCCAAGACTTTAGGCATCATTACTTCCGGGCCTGAACGACTTCCTGTTTGACGTGCGAGGGCTTCGGCGCAGGCCCCACAACCTGAACCCGCAGTCCTGAAGCCTCAGCCCTACATCCCAAACACGAAAAGCCTAATCCTTAATTGCCGGTTTCTGCAAAACAAACTGAAGCCCGAAACCTGACTACCTGAGTAGACGGACCCCGGGCTGAAGAGGTGCCAGCCCTCGCAGGCATCTCATATATTTCTTGCCCACAAAAAATTCAAAAAAACGCATGCAGCTCAGAGGAGTTGAAAGTTGCCGGTCCGGTCCGTTGGGTCCTCAGGATGTTCAATCTCTTGAATGGAGGGGTTCAGCGGCTTTCGGTTTCAGGATTTCGGCTTTGGGATTTGGGGTGTGAGGTTAAGGACAGGTTCTCCTGCTCAGGGCTACAGGTTGTACACAGTAGGGTGTTGAGTTGGTTTAGTGGTTAAGTTGCTTTTCGAGGCAGCTGACTATGGTTTCCTTTTCTGGCGGGGTCTTCCTTGTTCAATGTCGAGCGTTTTCTGCCTTCTCTGTAAGGCCGCTATTAATGACAACTCAGTGGCGTATCAGGCCTCCCGACCAAGATCCTCCGCCTGATGGTCCGCAAGTCACCGTGCGGCGAAGGCGGCGCTGCTCCAAAACGGGTGGTCGTTCACCGGTCTGGTCTTTGTAAATGACTATGCAGGTCGTTGATGTTCAGATAACCTATTTCATGTAGATGCAGTCACAAATCACACACACACACACACAGACAGACTCCTGTGGATTTCGCGGTTGGCCAGCACTCTGGTAGTGTTGGTTCGTGGACTTATGGGCAAAGTGTTCCTTTTCGGCTTGGGTCGTGGGGCTTCTGGAGCAAGCAAGGGCTAACCCCCGACCTCACATCCTGACCCCCGAACCCTCAGCCCTAATCATGAAGGCGTCTCAGGATCCATGGGGCTTTCGGTAAGTGGGCCGTCTTTGGAAGATCCTGCCTACAGACTGTTCATGAAGTTTCGGAAGCTGCGCGCACTCATGTCTACGCAAGCACGAGATCCGAGAAAACTCTGCTTTTATAACGGGGTGAGGCAAGTGAAACCTGCATTGTAGTGCACATGGCTCTCCTTTACGTCATTGGGAAAATAGCATGGGAGTTTCCGAGACAGCGTTGTGAGGCTTTCTGAAGAGAGACAATCTTTACATGCCGGATAGTTGAACATCCCTGTCGACCATCAGGACTCTTCGTCACTCTACCCCATCTTCGATCATGACTCTTAAAACGGGGGCGGCTTACGTAAGCAGCTTTGTGATTCGGGATTTGGACCCGGTATAGACGTCGCCCTCAACCTTTTGTTGTGTCTCGGAAGAATCCACAAGACTTCTTACTTCACGCATTTCTAACCTTCTCCTCAGACAAGCTTTGAAGTGGAGACACTTCTTTCCGAGGGCTCCTTAGAACGTAGCAATTCAGCATCCAAAACCCCCGCTGGAAACCCCGAACCCTAAGCCCCAAACATCGGACCCGAAACCCAGCAACCTCAGACCAGGCACCAACACCTTCGATCGCTGGGAGATGCGAATCCACAAGCGCCTCATTGATCTGCACTCTCCCTCGGATGCGCGCTAACCCAGATGCGGGTTCTTAATGTAGGCGGCTGTTGAAAAGAGGTTCCCGCAGTGAATCCAGTAAACCCGTAAGAACGAATCATAAACTATAAGTTAGACTATAAGTATCAATGAATCAAGTGTCCTCCAGAAGTTATACGAATGTTTCGAGTATAGCTACCTGAAGCCCTAGACCCTAGCCCTCCCAAACAACCCCAAACCCCAAAAAGCCTTCAACCACAGCCCCTAAACCCGAAGGTTGCTTGTTCGCAACTGAAGACCGATCGTTTATCATGTTTTGTGTGGTCGCGTTAAGTGGGGATGCGGGGCAGAGGTTGCACAGTTTTCGGCGGTTTGAGTGTCTCCTTTCTGCCAGATTTGCAAAACATTATGCCATAGGTACGCTTGGTAAAAAAATGTTTGACCCTGACCGTATATCCATACCAGAAAGACTCTGATAAATCTGCTAATGCTCGATATAGTCAGATGGATCAACTTGGTATTGCATCACCGAAATCCTTAAAACCCTAACCCCTAAACCATCGACGCCCAAATCCACTGAAGATCCTGAACAAGTAAACCACATTAACCTACACCCTCAAGCCTATTTCAAGCGTACGATCGAGTTTCTTCGCTCCAGAAATTCCGAAGGCTGTAGTCTTAGGGCTCCTTTCTATGAGTTCTTGACAGACGTCCGTCCTCGTCCTGAAAAGGTAGGTCTGAAGTCTAAAGACAATCAGATTTATTGGGAAATTGGTAGTGTACCGAATGTGGCCCATCCGGTTGTCATTCTGCCATTACCATGACTGGTGATCTAACATGAATGTCGGTACATTTATTCATCAAGAAGTCTCCGACGCGTGAACCCTTGGCTTACAGGGTTGGTATACTTCTTACCGTGTTACAGGTCCCAAACAGCAAAAGCATAAAACGACCAACCCTCTCCTAATCAATAATATCGGAGCCGTAACAATTCCCATAGGCTTTTGGGGCATATTGTACCATGCTTCTAATGTGGCCCCTGCTAGGAATAGTAGTACTACTTCTTCAACCTGCCTTCGGGCATTGCGGGTGGGGGTCAAGTGGGCTAGGCCCGAGCTCCGAAACACACTTCGAGTAGTCAGAGCTTCACGGATTCTGCAAGGTGGTGAAGCAGATCACCTCCATCTCCATCGAGCTTGCACCCCAGAAGTCTCCGGAGGAAAGCCTAGAACCTGGAACGGGAGCCTAAGCCCTATAAAGCCCACAAGCTTCGAAATTCTTAGACCTGAAGCCCACAAGCATAAACGCCAAAAAGCCTGGCCTTGACCTGAACCTAAAGGTCTCAGTCCTTACTTCGTAAATGCTCATGTAGCCGGAAAGGTTTAGGGTTTAGGGTGTCCAGGGTCCTTTTGGGGCGTTCCGTGGTGTTTGCAGCGCGTTCAAAGTTAAGTTTGTGAAAGGTTTGAGGGATAGGATTGCGGTAGCCCGAAAAGCTTTCGTGAATCGCCTTGGGCCCTTAAAGAGTCACCTTTTGAATCAGCCCTGAGCAGTCCTGCACCTTTCGGAGCATTACAGGCCCCAGCCCCGAGTTAAGACAACGCAAACCCAAGGAGCCCTAACACCCTGAAGCCTTAAACTCCGTTAATGTGCCGGCCCTTTTAATTCGATGTGGCTCTTTAATGCGTTTTTTGGCTACTTCAAGCCGGGACCAAAAAAATGGCAGGTCTAATTAATGAGTTTATTTTGGGACCGATGTTTTTTCGGTTTTGCTTTTTCCCTTCTAGTCATGGTCCCGACCCTAAGCACACAAAGCCCAAATCTAGTAAGGGTTGGAGTTTTCACGAAGAGTATCTCCTTCCAGCCACTATGTACTTGTAAAGGACTCTGCGAAATCTGTTCACTTCAGTCGCCACCACGCCGTTCCTGAAGAAAGCCTCAGTTCTTTCCCGCTCCTGCTTTTGAGCGTATAGTCTCGAAATCCTAAAGCAGGGAAGAATTGAAACAAAAGGAGGCTTAAAGCCGAAATCTGAATGAATCCGAAAGGCCCGGTGTGGAAGTCGCCCGGGGCCCAGCCATGCTTTGCTTAGGGCTTCAGGGTGTAGGGGCTTGGGTTTTGCATGTATTTTTTTCTCTTCGTGTTTAGGCTCTGGCCTGTATTAAGAGCCTAAGCTTTCGGCGAAGGGTTGAAGATGTGGGCTTCGAGTTTAGGGCCCGGGCTGTGGCTTTGCCTTTGAAGCCTACGCCTACGCACCTGCTGAGAGTTGTAGAAGTGCTTCGGTGAGTCATATACCAGCAAAGGGTTGGTTTTGCATGGTTCAAGTAGGTTTTGCAGGGCTCAATGGTCGAGGGCTTCCTTGACGGGATGTGTGAGGAGTTTGTAGGGTTGTGGATTTTGTTGACGGGTAAGATGTTGCAAGGTTTGGAATTTTCAGAGTCTGAAGACGCCGTTCTAAATCAGCTCTGCGTTTTAAGTATCTACGTCTGTGGTAAGCTGCCCTAATCTCGACCTAGGCTTGGTGAAGCCCCACTCGACTTAGGTCGGCAGAGCAAACCACCCTGAGCATAGTCACACAGTTTTAGGCGTGGGCATCACCCCAATATAGAGGCTAGACTCGGCTAGACTAATTGGCAATAGCATCGCCATATTCTGAGAGGTCATATTACGCCGTTGCTTGCATTCACAAGCACAGCATGCATGTACGTTAATGTATGTGTGTGTGTGCGCGTGTTCTTGTTTGTTTGTTTGTTTGTTTGTTTGTTTGTGTGTGTGTGTCAGTGGAAGAGAGGGAGAGAGAGAACGCGCGTAGGTATTTTAAGTAAGTACGTACGTTCGTACGTATGTATGTATGTATGTATGTAAGTATGTATGTATGTGCACGTTCACGTGATGTATGCCTGTACACATATCTGCGTCACGATTTTTTCTATCAAGCTTCTCAACGTGGAGTGATCCCTACAGATTCCAAGACTGCTACAACTCAAGAAAACCTGGATCTTGATCTCCTGGGCCCCATTGAAAAGACCTTCAGAGTATTCCAGATTATAGATTGCTGGGGCCTCACTAGATGCTCATGCTATTCCTTAGGGTTCCTGGCTGTAACTGTATTTTAAATTAAAAAGCCCCTAAAAATTCTGGCTCCGTGTGATGAACCCTCCACCCTCCAGCCTCCAAAATTGAATACTAGATCCGAGACTCTAGCAACCCTGTATACCCTTAAACCCACAGTTATCGTCTTGAAGCTCAAACACGAAGCCACCCAAAGCCACAAAGCTCCCAGGAAGTGACCATCGCAGACTTGTGAGAGGGGCTACGTTGACTCGGAGCCTTTAGTGGCACGGAGGAGCGCGAGAAAACCACTATCAACCCAGGATTCCGTTGCTTTGCACACAAGAGGGTGGTTAATAAGTAGAATAAGGTTTAGGGGCAAATCATGCTTTTTTATAGTGGGCTCGGAACCCTAAGGAAGAATGCCAGTCACATTGTTTTGGCTTCCATATTTTCAACATAGTCGAAACAGGGTTTTCTGTCTTAGGAATTGCTAGTATGGTTTGTGTAACAGTGTAACTAATCCTACATACCGGTACTTAGGATCCTTTGGGGAAACCAGTCCGGGAGTTAAAGTTGTGAATTTCGGGTTGGGTGTTAGGATTTTGGACTCAAGGCTGATGGCGGTAGAGTCTTCCATACTGTGAAACAATAAGGTACCATAGTGTGCCACAATCGGTGGGCTTATGTGAGAGTGGCCGTGCCCAGTGTGGTGGTGGTGGGGGTGGTTGGGGTGGTGAGGGTGGAGGGGGTGGTTGGGGTGGGGGTGGTGGGGGTGGGCTCAGAGGCTTACCGCTGAGATAGTTGCCTGCTTGAGCCCAAAGCCTTAACTTCAAAGGAAGTACGTAGCTCAATCGAGCCTGGATAATCCACCTGCGGGTCGACGTACACCATGGTTGCCGGCAAGGTGTTTTGTTGGTAGAAGGTCATAGACGCTTGCAGAAATCGTTATATGTGAGGAGGTTTCCTTCAATGTACAACCAGCTCCCTATGAGAAGTTGAAGTTTGAAGGTTCTTTTTGATCCATTTTTGATCCATGAGAGTGATAGATAATAAAGCCGCAGCTCAAACCTCACTATGTCGATCCCCCCGAAGTGGGATCCGTGTTGTAGTTCGGTGCTTCACACCCCGATCCCTTTGCTGCCATGCGGTTGGGGGTTTAGGGAGCTGGACCTTTCATTGGACACTCGGAGTCCTACGGTTCCATCCTGCGGACGTGGCTCTATTCAGGGTCCATCGGGTAGCCAGCCATCTCACAGCCACAGCCATGGCGTCAGATCCTCAGCGTACGGTTTAGGTTTTAGGTTTTAGATGTTATACAAGGCCCTGAATAATATGAAATGCTGCTCTCTAGCTACCTGATATGTAGTTGGGGCAGGACCCCTTTCCCCGAATCAACGACAGTCTGAGTGTTTAGGCTGATCCAGGCTTCCAGGGCGCCGCTGCCAGAGCGAATTTCATTCGTGAAGGGATTCCACACCTGAGCTTCTGGGTCGCGGCTGCACCTTCGGAGTCAAGGAACAGGTGAATACTTGAAGGACTGACAGACCTAGTAAGTGGGTTATCAGAGGGATCAGTGATCAGTAAGAAAGCTATAGACTATAGAGCTTGTTATCCAGAACCAGGTATCTAGTTCTCCCCTGAGCCCTAAACCTCAGACCCTATAAAGTCAAAAACGCATGTGTAACCTTACTTTCTAACTCCCCTGAGCCTTTGAGTAGGGCTTGAAGCTAAGGATTGACAGCCCCACACCAGCCAGTCCTAAATCCGAGCCCGAGGCGGCCCCCAACCCCAGCCATGGGGAAAGCCAACCATTCAACGCTACACAGTTTTTTAGGGTTTAGGGTTTAGGGTTAGGGTTTTACGTTGGAGGGTTTTGGGGTATAGGCGAGTCGGCAATTTTGAGCCTTCGCATGCCTTGCGGGTTCTCAACACCCTACCACAGCCAAAGCTGGTTCTTCACAAGAGCATCCCAAACCCAACCT